CTCTCTCTATCTATCTATTTATCTATCTTTATCTCTCTCTCTCTCTCTCTCTCTTCTAAATTTCTATCTATTTTCTCTATCTGTCACTCACTTGTCCACTCGGTAAACGGATACCACCGGTTTCATAGTGACGATTTTCAGTGGTTCTTGCTGAATATTGGCCCGTATGGAACCTGTTCGGCTTGTTGTTTGCTCTGGCTTTGTCTCGCTGTTTGTTTCTCTTTGCTGACGGTGGTTGATCGCACTTTTCCTTCACTGACTTTCCTTAATTCTTGACTGAGATTTTCTGTGGCTGAAATAAGCAGAATAATTCTTCCTCTTTTTTTGTTCGTATCATTGTACAAATACAATACAAGTAAGTGTCGTGGCGTCGATTGGAGAACAACGTCGATTGTTTCCTGACGCGTCGAGTATTTAATATTTGCCACCTATCGCATAAGAAGTCTACTTTGCACGTCTACGAGCCGCGTATTTAACAGCATCCGATCCTTCGTACACCGACGCAAGGCATGAAACTGTGTTTGATATGCATGCACTCCTCGCACGTGACTAACGACCACCTGTTTCACGTAACCGACAGCCACCTGTTGCATGTTCCACGTGTCCTCTTGTTTATTCTACGTCTTCCGTTTGTTTAACCGTGCAACCATTGCTCGTCTGGCCTTTCTCTCCTATCTCCTCTCTTCTCTCTTCGTTAGCTTGCCATCCTCACGCAAAGTGTTTCTACTCGTGGATTTTTTTTCACGATCCTAGCGTAGTAGGGTCTTAGACTAGCGTAGCAATGCATCATCGTTGTCACTAACCAGCCATTGGTTACATTCCTCTACTCCCATTCCGAGTGACTGAAAGAGTATTTTCTTGACGAGGTAATGAACATTTCACAAACGTTCAAATAGACGACTGGTAGAATTCAGAGTTCCGAAACGGTACGAAGTGTTCGAATGTACAAACTACGATAGATGAAACGATAGACGATGATCTCTGTCGTCGGGAAGTTGTCCACCTCTTTCAGTCATTCGAACGCCATTTAACACCGATCATCGCCACATCTCTTCCCGCTAATTTTCGTCGATCCTTTTCTCCGATATTGGACAAGTATCAAACGGTATCTGAAAATCCTTCGTCCATCCATCGTTTTTTTATCCAATCGTTCCACCCGGCCAGCGTCTAAAGACGAAGTAGTTCGGCGAAGCAACTGGCTGATGGACATCCTCGGAATCTCAGGGCAGCCATTGATCGATTGCCGATTCTCTCGTTGTTGTCACCTTGTACCATTGCACACACGTACATATTGTATATCGTTGTATATCGTTGACGTTGGTCAGCTGTAGCTGCTGGAACGCTGCACCAAATGCGACGCGCAGTCAGACGAGTCCGCGAGTTTCACTTTTCATTCCGAATATATCTCCTGACGAGATGTGCTGAATATGCATATGAGGACGATAAGATTCTCGTGCGCGGAACGAGACTCTCGTCTGGCCTTTGTACGTATTTTTCCAGTAGTGCATTTGTAAATTGATAGCACAGTGCGTGACGTACGTTTTCCTCCGACACCGGCGAGTACAGGAGAGTAAGTATATGGACCGAGCGTGCGTCATGCTGATTGTAATTATCACATGTAATGTTATTCTGTCTTTGGATCTTGGTAAATATGTCTCTAGATTCAATGCACCTCTTGTAGGTTGTCCATACAGCGACGAACTTCCCGATCCGTCGAGATTTCCAAGTCTCCATGTTTTGAAACTACCTCGCGAGATGTTTCGTTGAAGAGAACAAAATACAAAATAAAAAGACGTTCCAAGCGTATGGACAGCCTGTAAAGATGTCACAATGTGACATAAACAATGCCACGAGCCGAAGGAGCGCACGTAAGGATCGTAGCAGCAAGATCGATGGATCGTAGCCGCAAGTAGGATTCAGGATGCAAAAGCACCAAGTAGTGTCGGGAGCGCTGAAGCTGGACGTGGAGCTGCTGTACATTATTTAAAAAAAAACAAAATTTATCGCAACGATTCGCGCGATGATCGATGACAATGAACGATCTATCATTCACCTTCTCTCGTGTTCTTCCCAGAGAAGACATCTGTTGCCATGGCAATTCAACTAATCGGTCGCTCGATTATTTCCAGCTGGTGGCCGGAAGCGGTGGCGATGCCTCGGCCGGAAAGACCGACGAACACGAGGAAGCGATCCCAGGACCGGTTACCAGGCTCTTCGTCATCATGAACAGAGGAATCGCGAACCTCGTGCAGGATCTCATTCTTGTAAGTGACTCTCCAACTTGGCGCAATAAGTAAAACTAAAACGTAAAGTGAAGCGAAACGTAAAGTGAAAAGAAACGCAAGTTTCGAATTATTTAGGAAAAGAAAAAGAAAAAAATTTACGGACAATCGAAATCCCGAATAATTTCAATGGTTAATTTTAAAATTTCAACGATTAACTTCGCGATTTGATCGCTATCAGGGATTGATCGAAACGCGGTTAAAGAAAACGACGCGGTCGTATTATAACTTTTCTCGAGATTTTCCATTTAGTCACCATGACAGGTTTCGAATAAATCGTCATTAACTCGTCCAGATTGTTCGTTATCTCTCTCTGAGATTGTTGCGTCTTACACGTTATATATATATCTATAAATACGTTCCTACGTCATTTTACATAATCAATTTGTACATTTTATATAATCAATTCAAGTGAATCGTGTTGATTCACCGACAGCATAAATTTAATATCAAAAAAACGCGGTCGTAATCGCATCGGACAAATCGGACGTAGAATTAACTAGTCTGAAACCGAGCAAGAAATTGATCGTTAAAAATTATTGATCGAAGCAAATAATTAATGAACATCACTCTCGTCTAATATTTAACGAGTTTCTCCTGCGTTTAATTATCAATCGATATAAAAAATATCTCATATGATTTCGAAAGAGACTCTGAAAAATCTCCTACGAAAGAGATTGTAAATTCCGCCGGCGTGGGGACGATCTGTCGCGCGAGGATTTTGCCGAAAGTCGCGCGAGCGTTTGTCGTTCTAGATACAAAACCGGGCGATTACGCAAGCAATCCCCGTCAAGATCGATGGAAAGCAAAAATGTAAGCGACTTTCTCTACGAAATAGCTCGTCCATTTGCCGTTTGACTTATGCAAGCCCGTAGAGCTGCGTAGCTCCTGGCACGCGATATCACCGAGGACGTGGCTGTCGATCAGCTCCTGCGATCGTTACAGATCCTTCAGCCTTCGATGATGACCTTACCGATGGCACGATTCCTTCGTTATTGTATCGACGCTCGCGTGCGATTTATTTCCAGAATATTAATATAACAACGCGTGATAACCGGCAAGGTTGCTAAACTAATGTTTGGACAATCTTTTCTTTCATTCTTTTCCTTTCGAAATGAGAAAATTAGAAATTATCAGTTGAAACGTGCTCGATCATTGATTATGATTTACGATCTCGGTGTATCGGACATTGTATATGATAATTCGAAAATTCAAGCGTTTCGCCGGCGAGTCGCGCTTCGCTCTGGCGCGCGGTGAACTTTCGACGAAAGCGAAACCGATCGACTCGGAGAGGCTCAGAGGGAAGTAGTTGGTCGGGGGCCGTTGATCTCGCCTCGAAATCTCTACAACGTTCCGGCTATAGTTCTCGCGCGATACACAGTTCCGCAAAACACTACTCTATTACTCGAGAGATGGTTGTCTCGCCGCGAGGAATGCTCGAGATGCTTCGTCTAATTGATCGATCTTATTATCAGCAAGCGTGAACAGGAAACGCAACGGACGGTGACGGGAGATCTTTCTGCGCGTTTCGTTTGGAATTCCAGCAGGAAGAAAGCATTCCGAAAAATAGTGCGTGCAGGAACTCGTAGAAAAACGAAAACCGCCGGCCAGTCTCTCGCGTTTTTTTCTCGACTCGTTTCGCGTGCAATTGACAAACCGCGTCTTAATCACGGTTTCCCGAGACGACAAAACGCTCGTGGCGCGAGAAACGCAGAGAAAGCAACGCAGAAAAACAGTACAAAGTACTGTTAAAGTATCGCCGGCTCGGCGAGTGTTATTAAAGTTAATCGTGCTCGTTATGCGCAACCTTCGGCGAGCGCTACGCATCGGCTCGAAAGCGTTCACGCTTCGTACATTGCCCGCAATCTGTCTGTTTCCTTCATAAGCCAAATAAGTCGGCAATTCGCCGTTACCAGGCTCCAGCCGCCACGTTGCGGAACGATCGATGATCGGTTTCTCTGTGTCACGGTGAAACCGCGGTCGCGTGGATAATCGAAACGTCGAAAGCGTTGCGATTGTGTCTTTTACGGGAAGAGAACCGGTGAAAAAGAATTCACTTAGTAATTGCGTCTTGTAGACTAGGCTGTTTCTTCTCCCCAAAATGTAGCGTTTCGATCGACCGCGCGAGGAATGTATATATATATATTGTACAATGATAAGATCGAGAAGTCGGTCGAGATTGGAAATTTCCTTTCCTGTATCCTTTCACCGGCACTTGTGCTTGCTTCTAGCGTGGAACACTTTATCGCATTGAAACGAATCTTTGAACGATCGAATTCAACGAAGCCGAATTTTTCAGCGCCTGGCAGCCACGAGCGAACGGATTGTCAACTTCAAGGCGAGATTGATCACGTCGATCATCTAGAGTTGGCTGAAACGCGACAGCGATAAGATGTCCAAGTATGAGAGCGAAGATCCGATCCGGTCCTGAAGCGCTCGGCAGCCACATGAGAGAGCCTATTTGTGGAGCCGTGATTATCGAGCAGGAACACGGGCACGACGTTGGCAACGTGACCAGCGTTGCCCCCTTGTCCCCGAGATCCAAAGTGCCTCGTCGATGCTACCAAATTGTCCTCGTTAAGCTAAACAACGTAACCTCGCGACTTTCAGGCAGTTCGAGCTTGCCTCTGCCTCTACTTCTTCTCCTTTGTTCTGCTTCGCTTCTTTTAGTCTTTCACTTTCTCGTCTTCTGTCTCGCATTCTCCAACGTCTTCTTCCCCCTCTTTATGTTATACACCATAGATTCTCCTTCATAGCGATTAGCGAGTTATCGAGATTCATTTTACTCGAACTTTCGTCCGAAATTCGACATTCTTCCTTTCGCGACTATCCTTAGAATCTCAAGTATTTTATACTAGTTGCAAATATATATATATATATTTCGATGTAATTTTATTAAAAAAAAAAAAAAGCGACCTAAGATCGAGTAAAATCTGACGAATAAATGTATATAGTTGTCCCTGAAACGCAACTGTGCCAAGTATTGATTGTTTCTTCCTTCTCGATCCATTTACGCGTAAAGAAATAATATTCTCCACCGCAAAGAAAGCTGAACAGCCTGCGTTTCCTTGTCCGTTGGATTGCCAATCCACTGTGTAGCGAATCTACCATCTGATAAACTAAAAAAATTCCACGAATCCTGTACAATACGTGCGTAGCTTGAAATTTATTCGGCCATTCTTATAGTCGCATACGAAATGAAATACCATTCCCAGAGCTCCAGAGGAACAAATTGTCCAATATCCGTACAAGTGTATGCCCACCTTCGAATTGGATGTATTGTTTCACTTATTGTAAATCGTCCCTGTTATTTTGCAATGTAAATAAACAAATATTATTATCGTAACTTCTGTCAATTGGAAAGCGTTCATCACATTTACCTGCGATTCGTTTATTCCTTGTGGCAATATACTCGATACAAATTATGTATAAACAGGGAACGCGTCTCGTACGGACATTATATATTGTCCATAGAGACATTGATCCACGACCAACATTTAGCAAAAATACGATATTTATACGAGGTTCTCTCTCTCTCCACTAATCATTATTTCAGGCAATAACCGTCTCAATTTTAAAACGGAAAACGCACTTCGCAGTGAGGTTTGAACTATCGTTGTCACGCGACTATCGCGTTATTTCAATCATCCTCTAACTGGGAGAACAATTTTCCGACGAAATCGTGTCTTTTTAGGCCTTGTTGTTCAACGATCAAGTATACAATTTTAGAGTCGACGTATTTTACGCTACGTATTCTCATTGCTCGTAAAATTCGTTGGCAAAGTGTCCTCCTTCAAGGAGCCGGTGGCTTCTTCGAAGACGAAAATTTCGTCCTCGCAGGAAGCCCATCGGTGTAGCTAGGGTGGCGATATCAACAGCGGTTGTTCCTCCGGTAGACCGACGTAAACTGGATCGCCTAATCGCACGGTACCGTTGGAACCTCTCAATCCCAGATGGATTCCCATTACTGGACTCTCGCCGACCAGTGGACGAACAACTGGATCCGTTATTTGTCTGTAACTATAATAAACACAACGGTTTCTGTCATTCTGATCCGAATGTAAAAAGGCTCGAGTTACTCAATCAGGCAGTACACACGTGGATTTCTCATGCACTTGTTTTGTACTCGGTGCTCGTGAACGACCTAGTAACATTTGTTCACCACAATATACACGTTGTATGTTTAGTTGAACAAGTTACAATCTAATTATCAGATCAACCATTCCGCTGGATTCGCACGTGCGTGCTGTCGGATTGTAAGCAAACCTTTTCAGGGTCTTCAAAGGCTCAGCCTTTGGGTTCTTTTTGCCAGTCTCTGAATCGACAGTAGTTAGGATACATCTTGTACAAGGCAATATAGTCTTGAATACGACATCGCTTATCTTTATCCAACCCCAGCAGTCCTCCTCGTACGCAGTAGGGCCTTTGACCACGAAGTTTGGTCGAAATCGATCTGCCGTGATCGGATCTTCCAACCGAGTGTTCAGTTCAGTTACCGAACCTTCATTTATTAAGCAGTAACTAGTGGCATCTGGATAGGCGCCCTGTTTAATACATGCAACTCATTAATCAATAAATCAATCGATCGTGAGACTTTGACAATCGATAACAAACACTGTGATTGAACTTTCGAACTGAACTTACAGTATCGTCAGCTGTCATCGGGAATATCTTGAGCCTCGATCTAATTTCTCTTGTTGGATGCTGCAAAGGATAATAAACCAATCTGAATCCAGTGTCTTCCTGAAGAATAAACCGGGACAACCATCGGGCAACTTCCTCGCCGCAATCGCAGGCGAATACAGGCTGACCCCAGACTGCCACACGGAATCTTTTCGTTTCCTTGACTTGCGATAAATCGATAGATATGGACATCATTCCCGAGGCAGATAGCGTGAGGATCGATCCAGAGACGCTAGGTATCACCTTGAAGGGAAAAATTCCATTTATCAGATCATCGACAGTTGATTCTTAGCACTACTACTATGTGATACACTCTGAATCTTTTATCGTCTTATTACACTGTGTACTCGGAGTACGAAAGCGATTAAACTGACTTTTTGAAGAACAGAGATTCCGTATCGAGATTCCGAGACGAGAGACACTTCCGTTGGATTGAAAGTAAGGAATGTTGTTCAATCAGAGCGGAAATAGCTGGCCGAACAAAGGCAAACTACTTGTATCACTAGGGAAATATCATCGTGGAGTGGTGAATTAATTACTCGCTCCGACAGTTAATTTCACGAATTTCCACAACGATAAAACGGCTCGTTAATCCCGATTATAAAAGTTTCCCTTGCCGAGTCGCGCTAAAAAAAGATAGTGGCTCGGGGAGGAAATCTCGATCTACGAAAGCTTGATCTACGACTTCCAGGACCGCGTTAACGAGAGCTAACAATGGGCAAAAGCCTAAGCAATGGGAAAAAATAGGCATGATTATCGCGCATCAATTCGTTTCTAACTTCCACTTCCCAACTTTCACAACGATTTCACTTTTCTTCCTTTTTTTTTTTTTTTTTTTTTTTAAATGATCGATCGTACGATTTGAATACGCGTGCCGATACATTAAGATACGCTAATCAGATTATGTAATCTACAAGTATCGTATTGTGTTCAAAACTGGTAATTACGTTTCGTCGCTTAAAAATAAAGATTTTATGCACAGTATTTCCATGATGTGGATCTTTGTACTAGTACTTTATTTTAAATATAAATATACAGTGTTGCATTGTAGCTAGAAATCAGAGCTGAATTCGATCAGAATACAAGAGAGGAAATAATTCATTTTAATGCGATGAGGATTAAATTGCCGATACTCTTACAATCTAACATCTTTAAGATATCTCAGATCAATGTACAATCTTTGAACGGTATCTCAAATACGATGAAATACACGTCGACATTGCACGATTCAGAAAATCAATCTCAAGAATTGATCAATGGATTGCGAAGATTCAATATAAAATACACACAATATACAAAGTGAAACACTCAGAACATGGTACTCGTGATAATATTAACCTCGATTTAGATTCAATTTCGTAAAAAATCTCTATTGATCGCAATGCAAGGAAATAGTGTGCCACCGAATTTTCTTACCTGGACCATTTTTGGCCATTGTCTGGCGGTAACGAAATGTCCGTTCAGGTCGATGACCACCAAAGTTCGGTCTCTCAGCCAACCGGACTTGAGGCCCAATTTCGTGCACTCGAGCGAGTTCAATCGAACAGGACCAAGCGACTTGACCGGGTATACGACCAGGTCGCTCAACTCGCCGACCTTCCGCCATTCCGATGGGGGCCGTTCCTTCTGCCTTTTGGTCCACCACCACCAAAAGAAGACGACCACGGTGCCGGCGCCGACAACCGCCGCGGACACGTACGTCAGCCGCGTTCTGTCTGCTCGCGAAACATTCAGCCATATTAATTCTCTACGGTTAAGTGGCCATGCAAAACGGCCCGTTGCGAAATCGGTTCGTAGCCGCAAGAAAACATTCAAATAACACGTAAGATAAAGTAGAACTTCTTTACCAAATTATTTGTCGAACGATCGTGTTAACGTGGAAGCATTGAAATATCGAATTAATTAGGTTTAGGTAGACCTTCCGTAGATTTATACAAAGTGTTTCGAGAAATTGATCATCGAACTTCAACAGGCATCAAAATAAGGAAAAATCCAAAAGCTGAAAAATGA